ACCGGGAACCGAACTCACGACCTTGCGCTTGCCAGGCAGGCGCTTTTGCCGCTGAGCTAAATCCCCAGCCCCCCTATTTCTCACTTCTTAATAAACATTCCCAAGTGCAAGGTCCTGAGTTCAATTCCCAATTCCAAAAAAAGACATTCCTCCTGTCTATCTCTTTTGTCCTCGATTTAGCTCTGACCATGTAAGGCACAGAGCCAGATTACACCATGACACCTTGATCCAAATGAACTCATCTCTACACTGCTTGTCAACTAATAAAATGCTTTTCACCACTGTCAACACCACCCTCTGGGTGGGTCTCACCGTGTTCACTTGCCTTTCACTTGCCCCTACATAGGCAGTAAGTTTTAGGTATCTCTCCTCTTGCTTATCTACTTGCTGTCAGTTTATTTCATGGACTCATTGAATAAAAATTATAGGAGGCCATTGTTTTGGACTAAGCTTGTACCTGGGCCCCAATATACCAGATTAAAAGTCCAAATGGGGGCTGGAAGGGGCTGGGGATTTAGCTCAGCGGCACAGCGCCTGCTTGGCAAGGGCGAGGTCGTGAGTTCTGTTCCCGGTACCGGAAAAATAAATAAATAAATAAATAAATAAATAAATAAAAATAAAAGTTCAAATGGAGGCACTCTTACGAAAAACCAAATTGAAGATAATTTCCTGCCCTGAGAAGTTAGGGTTCCCCTAGCAGGCAACTTTCAATTGGCACGCGAGTGCAGTTCCTCCTGCTTTACTCTTCACAACCTAAACCAACATAATCTCAGCACTCTGGACACTGAGCCTGGAGTGTCAGGATTCGAGGCCAACTTAAAAAAAAAAAAAAAACTTGATGTTGACCAGTCTGGTGTTTTGTCTCTGCTTTCTTCAGGCCTTCTCCATCTCTAAAGCCAGTTTCTTCCACTTGATCTCCCAGCACACGTACTCTATTTGATGGAATGAGGTGCTGCCCAGTTCTACAGCGGCAGCTGAAGCCCACTGATGTTTTGAAGTCACCGTCGCTGTCGTCGCTGTTGTCCTCATCGTCCTGTCCTCTCACAGATCCGGTCCCAGACGCACGGAGAGCAGAGGAACGGTCCTCGGGCTCCCACAGTTTCCTCATGATCAACAGCAGCACTTGGTTAGCAGTTCCGGTTTTTCTATTTCCAGACAGAAGGCTGGCTTGGGGAAGGCTCAGACTGACATGGAGCACTTCTTCCCAGCAGGGTCAGGGCTCTGGGTGCTGCTCAGCACAGGACAAGGGATCATTCTTTGTTGTTCATTTAGTTTTTGTGTGGTTTTTTTTTTTTTTTTTCTGTCTTTTTGAGACAGGGTTTCACTATGCAGTTTAGGCTGGCCTTGAGCTCACTTTGTGGCCCAGGCTGGCCTCGAACTCTCAGTGATCCTCCTGCCTCAGCCTTCTGAGTGCTGGGATTACAGGTGTGCACCGCCACACCCAGCTATTAACTTTACTTTTTTTTTCCAGCTATTAACTTTAAATAGTAAGTGGCAGACTAGCCACAAACAGCTTCTCTTCCTCATTCCAAAAAAAAAATTTTTTTTTTTTGGTCTTTTTGAGACAGGGTCTCGCCATGCAGCTCAGGCTGGCCTTGAGCTCACTTTGTAGCCCAGGCTAGTCTCGAACTCACAACAATCCTCCTGCCTCAGCCTCCCGAATGCTGGAATTACAGGTGTGCGCCACCACGCCCACCATCCCAAAAAATTTATATATAAAAACATTTTAAATCTGGGCATGGTAACACACACCTGTAATCCTAGTGGACCAGAGGCTGAGGCAGGAGGATCTCTGTAAGGCCAACCTGAGCTACATAGTTCAAGGCTAGCCTGAACTACTGTTGTGATTTGTATCTGGATGTCCCCCTAAGACTCATGCAGTCATGGGTGGGCTTTTAGAGTTTATGATTGGGGGACTGGGGATTTAGCTCAGCGGCACAGCACCTGCCTAGCGAGCACAAGGTTGTGAGTTCGATTCCCGGTGGGGGGGGGATAGAGTTTATGATTGATTCATGGTCCAATGTTGGAATTAAGGATGTGAGTGCTACACCCACCCTGGGGCGGGTAGTTTGCATATAATATGAGGGAGGAAAGAGGCTGCTGCCGCTCCTCCCCTTGTGCTCTTGTTGTTTTGCTGTCTTCTGCCACCATGAAGGTTTGCCCTCTGCCATGTGCCAACCAGCCTTGGAGCCAGCCAAGGATGGACTGACATCTCCACAGACTGTGAGCTAAATAAACCTTTCCTCCCTTGGGCTGGGGATATATCTCAGCGGCACAAGCGCCTGCCTGGCAAGCACAAGGTCCTAAGTTCGATTCCGGTACCAAAAAAAAAAAAAACTTTCCTTCCTTGATTCTGGGTGTCAGGTATTTTCTCTCAGCAATGAAAGAAAAGTAGCCAGGTAGCCGGGCATGGTGGT